ATTGCAAAATCTTCAAGAGAAATTGGCAATATTTGTTCTTCTAACATGACTGAAGACATTATTTCTGTGACAGAATGACTCCCCCACTTTATTAGGACACCCATGTAGCTGGAGAGTATAAATGATTTTATTTGGGACTAAAATGAGTCTTTATGACTAGTAGTCATTAACTACTGACTATGTTGCTTATAAAATCAAGATGTGAGAGTTTCAAAGCAACCACCTTCAGTTCTTATGAACCGAAGGTGGTAAGGAAAAATATTGAAGGTCACTTCAATCTGGGAAAGTTGACAATAATGTTATCTCAAACCATTCCCCCAGGCAATACCTCTCCCTCAAGAGAGGGCTGAGTTTATTGCCTGGTGCCAGAGGCATCTTCAATAGTGAAAGTGCTGAGGAGATTGAGCAATTTTCCCATGTTATCGCTGTTAAAACCATTTTAAACTGGCCTTGTGTCACATTTAGTAGTGACGATGGTGCACTCAAAAATACACACATAAGGAAAAAGAAACAAAATGTGTGATAAAATAAGGTCAGTTGGAGAATTGCAATTGCAGCCAGAGTTATGAATTCAAATGCTGCCCCCTCTAACCTAATCCAGGTGTCTGTTTTGGTACACAAAATGAGAACAATCTACACCCCCTTTCCATGCTTAAGAGATACTTTATATTGGTACTCACCAGTTTTATTGACTTGTGTTGCTTGTTCATTTCTTCCACTGACTTTTCAGTACTACCAGCACTACCTGACCCAGGGACTGAACTTACAAATGTTAAGGAATGTATATTTTAGTCAATGTTTGAATTCACTGTACCTCTTGGGCAATACTGTGTTATAATTTGGTGGCCCTTAAACTTAATATCTATGTTCAGGTACTTGACCTGAATGAGTGAACCTGATTCAGGTGTTAGAACTGTATAGAAAAAGGAATTGAGAATACTCTATCTTTGTGGATTGAATAAAAAATTCAGTTTAAAATTCCTAGAAGGTTACCAAGTACAAAGATAGTCACTTGTATAAGGTCAGAGGTCACAATATGCCCAAAACACTGTGAGTATAACAACCAAGATGCACATGCTGGTCTGAACAGCAAAGTGTATAATTATGATAATTTCACATTTTAAAAATTCTGACAAAAAAAAAGATTATGTCAAACAGAAGAACATTTTTTGTTAAATGGACTAAACATATCAGTCATCATTTGCCATCATTAAATTCACTGATGATTGCTAAATGGCTGCAGTCAAAAAGGTATAAGACATTTGGAATTTGCTTTGAGTACTGAAATCTTTTTATTTCAAAATCAAAATAACAGCAAAATATATAATTAGCAAATTTATATCCAATCTCAAGATTTTATGGAACAAGTATGATAAATTCAAATTGAAGAAGCACCAGCTGGATCTTTAAGTCCCTGTTAAACAATAAATACTAACATATATTCTGGATAACTAAATGATATTTTATTATTAACATTTTTGACCAGTAATTTTTCTCCCCTTAATTTTTAGTTGCATTTAAGGGCAACTTACTTAGGTCTACAGCAGAAATTAATAGATGGTAAGCTCGTAGATTCAAAAAGGGATGGGAATTTAAGCCATAATGGGAACTTATCCTTTCTCAACTGCACCATTTACTTTCTCTGCAAAAATAATGTTTGAATTCAATTCTACAAGAAAAGAATTGAGTGGCAAAACTATTTTGCAATAACAAAAATAGATTAAAGAAAAGAATTGCAATAAAAATACAGTAGTTAACAATGCAACTGTCAACAGAATCAGAAAAACTGATAGTTGTTGAGGACTGCAGATAAGAACCTTGCCTAATGATGGCCATTTTGGTTCCATAATAGATAAAGGCAACATATATGCAAGGCAAGCTCCTAAATATTCAAAGTTACCTCTTAATTTAAAACTCGTGGAATTCAATTCTACAGCCAATGATTGATTGGCAAGAATATGCCAAAGAACAAAAATATATTAAACAAAGGCATATTATAAATCTACCAGTCTACATGAATTTAAGCCATTCTTCACGTCTTCATCGATGATGTATATGTCAAAAACATGAGTCAAAACTCAGAAGAAGGCAGACATGTAAAAATTATATTATTATTCATTTTCACAAATGTTTTATTTCATTTTGGGATCTTTAACTCTCTGTTAAACAATAAATACAAACATTCTAGATAACTAATTGATATTTTATTATTATTAACTTTGATTAATAATTTTTCTTTCCTCTTAATTTTTAGTCATATCTTAAGGCAACATCTTCAAGAATGAAGAAGAGACTCAAGGTGACAGAGATGTGGTTCTACAGAAAGATACTGAGGATATCATGGACTGAGCATGTGAGCAACAATGAGGTCTTGGAGAGGATGCAAACAAGGAGGAACCTTATGCTTAACATAAGGAAGAGTCAGATGAAATTTCTGGGACATATGATGAGAAAAGAGGGCCTGAAGAATCTGATACTCAAGGGGATGAATAGAGGGGAATAAAGAGACAAGGGAAAGCAGCACATGACATTCGTGGTGGGCTTGAGCAGATGGATGGCAGAGTGTGGTCTGAGGAAGTTGGCAGAAACACAAAACCTGTTCAGAGCCAGAAGGTATAGGGGGAAGTGGAGGGCCATGATCGCCTACATCCTGAAAGGACACAGCAAATAAAAAGAAAAAAACTTGAGTCTATAACAGAAATAATCAAGATTGAAAATAATAAATGTTAAGCTCCCAGATTCAAAAGGGGTTGTGAGTTTAAACCTCATTGAGAACCTATTCTTTCATAATACCAATCTACACTGTTTACTCCCTGATCAAGACTGATGGATTGAGTAAGTTGCCTTAAAAAGAAGCTAAAGTTTAAGTGGAAATAAAGAAAAATTACTACTCAAAATTAATAATAATAACAATTGTTTATGTTTTATCTAAAAATAATATTGTTGTGACTAATATTTTATATAAACACCAATTTTATTTTAGAAAGCACACATTATACAAGTAAGCATATCACAAGGGAATGAATAAATGCATAATTTCAAAAAGTCATTCCAATATAAGTCATTTTAGCTTTTAATATCTTGTATTACTTCAACCATTCTTCTAGTTTTGGTTCCCAAGAGAAACAATAAAGAATAAATGCTTCCATTAATACCTTAAAGTTTGAAACTTCCAAAGATATTTTTTGTTCTGAAGGAACATTTTATTCTTAAGGGAAATCATTTTAAAACTTTATTGAATCTTATTTCTTTTGGGACGAGCAGAAAAGCCAAGGACAGTAATTGGATGAGTCAGGCTACATTTTTTTTAACATTTCTTCCTGAGCTTTTTTGCATTTCCACAAGCAAGAGTGAATTCAAATTTGCAGTTTCAAAAAATTGCTTAGAAAAGCAAAAGAAAATAAAAAATGAAAATCACATCACTTATCTTAAACTTTATCTGTTGATATTTCTACTGACACAGAAAGATTTTTTAAAATTGCTCAAGACTATCACTTAAAATTGAAAAGAAACTAACCATGTTGCCATAAAATAATAAAAAAGAAAATCAGAAGAAAGCCTACTCTTTTTCTTTGTATGCCCATATTTTTCCTTTCAGTAGAATTGGTTTATGTAAGTTAATCCCAAACAGTAATTTTTTAAAGTATTTTATCAAGTTTCAATTTTCCTTTGTTTATTTGCATCTCGTTGTTAATGTTTGACACATTTTCTTGATGGTGGAATAAATGAAATACAAATATTATTAGCAGTAGTTCTCACAGTATTATTAGCAGTAGTACTCACAGTATTATTAGCAGTAGTACTCACAGTATTATTAGCAGTAGTACTCACAGTATTATTGGTAGTAGTAATCAGTATTATTTGCAGTAGTACTCACAGTATTAATAGTAATCAGTATTATTTGCAGTAGTACTGATAGTATTATTTGCAGTAGTACTGATAGTATTATTTGCAGTAGTAATTAGTATTATTTGCAGTAGAACTAATCTAGATAATAGTACAAAATCTAATCTAGTACTGCACTTAAATTTAAAAAGTTTAGGTACCATAGGGAAGAGCTCATCTGAACAATTACCATTAAAATATTTATAAAAAAGTCAAAGAGAGACAACCTTATAATGGTAGGAAAGTGACTTATATCAAGGAGTCTCAAGGTAAATAGCAAGAGTACTGGGCCATATGTGGCAGTAATATTCTGAGGATGGTTGAAATGTAGACTTTATCTATAAATATATAGATTCTGGAGAGAAAAATTGTCTCAGATGAAACGGTAAGTCAACTTTCTTAGAAGCTGATCTAGCAATGCATTTGATATAATCTTTCCACTTCATGTCAGCTGAGAACATTAGCCTGAGAAGGCACAATGAATTACTTTCTTGGAGGGTAGCATCAGCCATACTAATAGAAAGTAGAGAAGCATCTCTCAAGTGATTAATGGAGAGAAGTTTAGTTTTGGAGGTGTTAAGCCATTTTTTGCCTCAGTTAACAATGGACTTGAGGTTGTTTTGGACATTGGCTGCCATTTTGGCATTGTTGGACTGATCAGCCTTACTATCGAGGCAGGAGTAAATGGTTGTGTCATCAGTGTGGATATCAAGTTGAGGGCTGATGTCATCAGGTAGGTTTAATTGTTATTAAAGAAGAAGCTTCTTTATATGACTTTCTCTCCTTGAAGATATGACAAGAAGTTAAAAAATATTTTAACATATTTTAATATTGAAATGTAATCTTGTAATATAAACAATATAAACATTTTTGTAATGAAGTTAAAATCTAAATACACAAAGACTGAGAAAAACATTATCATCAATCAAAACTATTAAAATTGTAAAATGATCCTCAAGTTAAATCACATTTTGAAAAGTTAATATAAGCAGGATTACAGAAACTAAATAAGAATTGATGAAAGAAGTTTATTCTAGGTGATAAAGTTGAAAAAGTAATTTGTTCTTAATCAACGGTCAACACAAAAATCATATAAAAGTACACTATTCAGAATGATGCATTATGGGTATGTACCTTTAAGAGAAATCCATGAGTATAAATTGAATTGAAAGCAATTATCAAGCAGTATAACAGTAATTAAAAGCTGCTTTTAATTATAGAAGGAAATCTTCTGTAAATAAATTAAAAATAACAGTTCACTCTGTTTATATAAATATACCACAAAATGATTGTAGTAGCTACATTTAAAAAAAAATGTACTCCCTAAAATGACTGCATATATTACAAAGCATCTAAGAAGCAAATCAATTATAATCTTTTTCAAAAATTTAAAATAAAACATTGTCTTTATTTTTGACTAGTTTTCTTTCTGTAATATAGTAACAACTCTAAGTAGAAGCTTATGAATCTTTATTTGACTAATTCAGTTCTAGCACTGTAAAATGTTTATTTTATTGTGATGGATGGTTACAAGTGAGAGAGGAGATGGGATGTGCTTATTTTATTGCTACACCTTCCATCTTTTTTTATATCTATATTTTGCTCATTTTTAAATTCTATTAACAGCATGGGTTATAATAAAGACTTAATTTCAAATGAGATTTGATCTTGCATCTGTTGGGATTCTGCCTTACGAGGACAGTACTTTACCAATTTAGGTCATGAATGCCAACCAATTTATCTCATTTGAATATAGTCATATAGTTAATCTCATTTGAATATATGCTTCATTATCTAATTCTGAAGGATCAAATTAAAACTATTATAGTTGGAAAGAAAGTTCTGTCATATTTGAAGATGGAAAAAGAAATAAAATACTTCTTTGATCTTAATTCAAATATTTAATCTAGAAAATATTTCCCTTCATTATTGATAACATAATATTTGGCAAATTGTTGAATCTAAAGATGTAAAATAGTTTTAAATTTTTCTGGTTTCAATATAAAGAAACATTCAATAACAGTTTTAAGCTCTTCATAATCAATAAGCTGTTTTCACTCTAAATAATGTTGCAATGATCTGAAAAGATGATAGTCAGATGGAGCAAGGTTCAGAGAATTAGGAGGATGAAGCAAAACTGCTCTAATCTTTTCTTAAGTGAGTTGGGCAATATGTAGTCATGAATTATCATGTAAAAACAACATGCCTTTTCAATTAACCAATGATGAGAATTTTTTTCTAAACTTTTTGTGCAATGCTTCCAACTGACAACAATACTTACAACTGTTTCATTTTGGTTTATCACTTCATAATAAACAACAACTTTCTTATGCACCAAACACAGAGCATAACTTCTGTTGTGTAGAAAGATGGCTGACCTTCACTACATTAAAGTGTTGAACACAGACTCCTCCATTGACTATGAAAGGAGTTACACAGTTGTCACAAAGAGTGTCACACTAACTACAATATTTGCTAGTATTGTAATATTGATCCACATGATTAAATAGTTCTTTTCACTAATCTGGTACTCCAGTGTTCTCCTTTGAAATATTATTAATCCAAACTATGAGTTGATACAAACATTACAACAACTTTTTTCAAGTGTAGTCATATTTAGGAATAGATTCTCCTTTTTCTGTGGATGTTAACCCTTATCATCTTTGTTGGATATGATTATAGAGAACTCACATTTTATCACTGGTGATGAATCTAAACAAGAAAGTTAAATAGCAAGTCTTCTCTTCAATGTAAAAAGGCAATGCTTTGATTAAGCTGAGAAGCAGTCAGATGATGGAGGACTCATTCACTAAGTTTAAATATTTCTTCTGAGTCAATAAAGGTATTTTATGATCAAAGTGTGACTTGTATTGAACCATTTTGTTAATTCTCATGCAGTTTACATAAGATTTTCCTTAATTTCAGCTTTCAGAAGCTCAGTATTGAAAAAAATTTGGTTATCAACATTGAGGGTAATCTTTGAGAGAAAAATTTGCTGATCAAAACTGACCAAACCATGGCATTTGCAGATACACAAAGATTCATTTCCATTGACAGAATGAATATTTCTTCAGGCCCCTATTGTTAAAGAGCTCTTTTTGAATTCATACCACATACAGCAGTGATTATCAGACTTTTTTCTCTGAGACGCATTTTCATATTTAAAATTTGCTTGTGTCTCACCAAATTTTATGTGATAAAAATTACATTTAAAAATAAAAAAAACAGAGTGAGAGCTAAACAGAGATAACCATGGATCCAAAGTCAGAACATTATCATTGATAACTCCCTCCTCCAATTTGCAGAGCCTAGTTACTATATTCTTAATACTTGATATAATGCAAAAATATCACAATGATGAGATTGGTCAGTAATTATTTATAACTATTTATACTGGGACTCATGCATGTAATTACAAGTAATCCATAATAATATTTAAAATTTTTAAATTACAATTTATTTTTGACATACAAGCTTTTTGAAACTGTTTCTAAATGTTTGTTTGTCTTTCAATTATTCTGCCTCATCTGTTGTCCTCTCCCGCTGCACCTATGAGGCATGCTGCACCATTTGTGAACCACTGACATACAGTTAAACTCATTTTAAAAGAATAAAATTAATAGAAAATTTATTCTCTTTAATATAAAGGAATCTGGAAAGAAAGATAAAACAATGTAAAAATTAATATATTTTCTTCATATGTCTTTTATTCTATCATTCTATCAGATTCCGGTCCATATTTGATCTGTATTTGATACCAATTCACAGATGGATATATAAAGAACTACTCCAGAGATGTCTTTGGTCATTCTCTCTTAAGTATCATAGGAGAAAATAAGGTCAGCGAGTCCGAAGGAGCCACACTCCACACACTAGCCGAGAATAACTGGTAAAATATTAGAGTGAATAAAATGTTAAGTAATGAAAATACAAATTTCATGTTATCACTTAATCAGCACCCTCACCACAATCAGCACCCTCACTACAATCAGCACCGTCACCACAATCAGCACTGTCACTATAATCAACACCCACCCACCACAATCAGCACCCACCCACCACAATCAGCACCCACCCACCACAATCAGCACCCACACTGCAATCAGCAACCACCCACCCACTACAATCAGCACCCACACACCACAATCAGCACCCACCCACTACAATCATCACACTCACTACAATCAGCACCCTCACCACAATCAGCACCCACCCACCACAATCAGCACCCTCACTGCCATCAGCAACCTCACCACAATCAGCACCCACCCACCACAATCAGCACCCTCACTACAATCAGCACCCTCACTGCAATCAGCACCCTCACCACAATCAGGAAATCAGCACCCTCACTACAATCAGCCGCCACCCACCACAATCAGCACTCTCACCTCAATCAGCACCCACCCACCACAATTAGAACCATTACCGCAATCAGCACCCACCCACCACAATCAGCACCCTCACTCCAATCAGCACCGACCCACCACAATCACCACCTGCACCACGATCAGCACCCACCCACCACAATCAGCACCCTCATCGCAATCAGCAACCACCCACCCACTACAATCAGCATCCACCCACCACAATCAGCACCCTCACTACAATCAGCACCCTCACCGCAATTAGCACCCACTCACCACAATCAGCACCCTCACTACACCCTCACTGTAATCAGCACCCACCCACCACAATCTGCACCCTCATCGCAATGAGCACCCACCTACCACAATCAGCACCCTCACCACAATCAGCACCCACCCACCACATTCAGCACCCTCACTGCAATCAGCAACCACCCACCTACTACAATCAGCACCCACCCAGCTACCACAATCAGCACCCACCCATCACAATCAGCACCCTCACTGCAATCAGCACCCACCCACCAAAATCAGCACCCTCACCGCAATCAGCACCCACCCACCACAATCAGAACCATTACCGCAATCAGCACCCACCCACCACAATCAGAACCATTACCGCAATCAGCACCCACCCACCACGATCAGCACCCACCCACCCACTACAATCAGCACCCACCCACCACAATCAGCACCCTCACCACATTCAGCACCCACCCACCACAATCAGCACCCCCCACCACGATCAGCACCCCACCACGATCAGCACCCACCCACCACAATCAGCACCCTCACCACAATCAGCAGCCACCAACCACAATCAGCACCCTCACTATAATCAGCACCCACCCACCACAATCAGAACCATTACCGCAATCAGCACCCACTCACCACAATCAGCACCCACCCATCACAATCAGCACCCTCACTGCAATCAGCACCCACCCACCACAATCAGCACCCCCACCACGATCAGCACCCACCTACCACAATCAGCACCCTCACTACAATCAGCACCCACCCACCATAATCAGCACCCTCACCACAATCATTGAAATACACTTAATGTGATCATAGTAAAAATGCCACTAGTCTTTCTTTCCAACTTAATGCATTTGGCCTTGTGGGTGATGAATTATTTTCAAGCTTTCAACCCCTTTCCCACAGACAAAAATTAAGTGCCTATTGTTACTGTATCATTATTTCAATAGCAAATGTTCAAGCAAGCTTAATTTTACCAGTTCAAACATTTACAACTAGGGTATGCCATACACAGGATTAACCATCCTCATTATGTTTGTATTTCTTTGGTAAGAAGGCAATTCCCAAGAACTGTTACTTTGTTGAACAGACTACTGAGAAGATGCTTTCCTGATCTCTGCAATGTTAACCTTGTCTAGCATTAGCCATTATCTATCCCCCATATCCTTATAATCTTCACTTGATTCCTCCTTTTGCATTTATGCAGCAACCTCACTCAGTAAACCTCTACTTTGAGTTACTCTTAGGCCTTGTATTGGGTGAAACTTTATCAGAAAAAATATCAATGTTTACTTTTCTTAGATACCATGAGATAATATGTTGCCAGACGAACATCCATGTCTATATCCACACACCTATACGCCTAGAGAATTGATCCCTGCAGATATTGGTTTTCTTATCTGGTCATTGTTTGGTGCATCCTGTTCAGATAATGTCAGTGAGGTAGAAAACGGATTTTTAACTTCAGACAATAAAATAAAATAAAAAAAACATCCATCTAGGTATAACTTTTGTGAAGCAAGCATATTCGTTCAGTTTAAGTGATTTTTCACACAGATTTTGTTAAAAAAAAGGAGGAAAAATTTGAATGCCACCCTGATGTCTTGAATGTCCCCACAATTTCTAATCGCCCCTTTGTCCTCATTATCCCTTGGATCTTTCTACCACCAAAAGGGAGAATGTAACAATCCAATCAGGAATCACAGTTGTAAAATATAAGAATGACTAGTCTTCAATTCATTATCAAATGTTAAACTATTGACATAGCAGATCAAAGTGATTATCTTCTTTGGCTTCCATTCTTGAGATCATGACCTCCATTCCTATGATCTACTTTTGAATTTCCTCTCTCAAGAGAATGTTCATAATTGTAAGGGTTTGTTTTGATTTGGCGCTTGTACAATATGCAAATTGCTTATGATCTTGTGGAGCATCAAACGCTGAAGAGATTTCAAAATATATGAAACATGAATGCAACTTATAATTGCTTTGCATGGCATTAATCTTTACTTCTAAGCCTCAGCTATTGCTTAATTAGGCCAACAGGATGACGTGCTCTCTGTCACACAAAATTATCTGAACATTTTTACTCCTTATTAATTTACCTCCATCTGGAGCTAAGATGACACAATATGATTATATCATTTAGCAAGTCAGCATCCATATTCAACATATACCATATTGTGAACATTTTTAACATTTTTAACATTTGCACCATTAATGATTCTTTAAGATTACAAGGAACAATTTTTTCTCCTGTGAAAAGTGTACACTTTTATTTTGAAGAAAATATGTAAACCCCCTTTGCTTGCAAAGAGAAGAGAAAAGCAATGTTTTTAATTAAAGTTAGTAGTTAGAATCACACAGAAACAGCTGAAAGTTTGGGGGTATATGACGAGAAAAGAGGTCTTCAAGAATTTGACATTCACAGGATGGCAAAAAGAGAAACAGTTAGTAACCTACCTTACAAGTGAGCAACAAAACAGGGACTGTGATGAATATTAAACAAAACAAACATTGCTAAGTACTACAAAGGATAGGAAGTTTTGGAGAGCCCTGACCTCACACAGTATTCAGGGATATGGCATATAAGAAGATTGCACTTACATATTTTCAAACAGTACTATTAGAAATCCAAGTAAAAAACAGTTTGGAATACTGATTTTGTAGAAGCCCTCCTCAGTTGATAAGTTGAAGAATCTTTTTACCTATAATATCTGGAAAAGATACAAAAGATTACATAATTTACAAATATAATAAAAATCATGAAACTCTTACATATATATCTATATATTTTTATTTCACTCAGGGATTTTGCCAATTACAGTGTATGAATAATCTCTGGACACTCATCTGAAATGTTAATCTTACATTCTTGTCTGAAATGTCTTAGTGCCTATGGGGTGGGTGTATATCAATCTCTATCATTTGGCTCCTACTTACATGTGGCATCACTAGTGCAGCTGGTCTGGACACATGGGTCTTCATTCAGTTACTAAGAGATCATCCCTCAAGTCAAAACTGCACCTGTCTTCTCCAAAGATCAGTGAGTGTAAACTTCATTCTGGAATGATCTGTGCTAGAACACATACTACAAAAAGGTTATAACAAGTCTAAGAGTGTGTGTTTGTGTGTATGTGTTTGTTTGTTTTTTTTTTTGTGTGTGTGTGTGTGATTGTTTTTGTGTGTGTGTGCATGTGTGTGTACTTGTAAAAAAGTTCCCAAACACAAACACATGCACAAATGCACAAATACTTATACATTGAAATCTACAGTTTTAAATTATGTAAATTTTTAAAAACAAAAATGGATATATTTATTATATGATTGTTACTTTTAAAAGATTTTATCTCTCAAGCATTTTTTTTTAAATTTTTCTGACCTATCAGTTTAGCTCTATAATCCAGTTTTTATATTTATGACAAAATATATTGTTTGTTCTCAGCGTTCTCTATCAAAGTAATTTATTTTCTTTAGTTTTTTGTATATCTGTCTGTCTAGCCAAACGTTAACACAGCAAAACAGTTTGAGTCAAAACAACTGTATTAAAGAAACAAAATGGTAAAAATATCAAATGGATTCTTATATTTATTCCTTCACCGTAAAGGAAATTGTTTACCAAAGATTTGAGAGAAATTCAAAATATTTCATTCTTTTTAGCTAATAAAAGATTGAGTCATAATTTTTTATATGGAATGATTTTTGCTTCTGTAAAATAGAAAACAAATTTATATTAATCGGATAAAACTGATGATTGGTTCTTTTTTTATCAAGAATTCCTTGATAAAATAGCAAAACTAGTGGGTAATTGAAAGTGGGATTGGACTTTGTTTTTTTTTTAAATAAGATAACGAAATTGTTATCCTATTTCCAAAGACAAATAGACGAAAGATACAAAAATAAACCTAACAGACTGAAGAGATATTGTTTACGTTTGGACAATTATTGTTGTCTTTGTTGTATATTATCACAGTGTTTTAGACATTGTGATCTCCAGACTTCATCAGACATTTATTGACTCTAATCTTCAGGGAATTTCAAACTGAACACTTTATTTAATTTAAGGGGGTAGATTGTTCTTATTCTGCTGACCATTTCTAGAGATATCTCAAGTCCTTTTTTAGTACTTCTCAGTTATTGCTTGCACTGTTTCCACTGAATTTAAGTCTGCACTAACCAGCTTCACAATTACTATGGCACCAAATTCACAAACCTATGCTTTAATCCCATGAGGTTATTGTTCTGTGGATAAAACTGAGAACTACTAAGGAGTAAAGACATCCCTTGATATGGTCAGCAAAATGAGAACAAAATAGCCACCTAGATTAAATAAAAGGTTCAGTTCGAAATTTCATTATTTGTATCAACAAGGACCTAATGAAGGTCAAAGGGCACAATGGCTGAAACATTATGATAATGACAACAAAAATGAGGACAATAGTATTAGTGTAAATAATGTAATGATACCTCTTTGCCCCAGAAAGTCAGGCAGAGACTGAAATGACTTACCGTAGAAAATAAATACCAATGATTATAATTTTGTAAATCTTACAGCTTACTAAAAGGAGTTGTGTATTAAAAGGATTAGTGTATGAGGATTGAATTGGACCAGATGTTTCACTTCCTGAGGGAAAGAGTTCATGTACAATATCTTACCTTTCCCATTCATTTGGTATGGGAAGAAATAATGACTGTGTTGCAGACATCATACAATTATAAACAATGTGGGTCCCTTCCAATAATGAGCCACAAGAGAAACATGAAATTAAAATAACATGAAATACCAAATGTGTGTGTATATATATATATATATATATATATATATATCAGAGATATTTATTCAAATGATATATACATGACTTTTCCATGTTGTTGTTGGTCAGAAAGCAGTTTGTTACATTTTTACTGCATCAAAAAGGTAGAGTTTCTAAATTGTCTGCCAAAGTGGAAATGACACAAGGCTGTCATTAGTTTGTCTATTGACCAATCAGAGGATTTGTTACA